CTGATAAGAGTTTGGCTTTAACCCCAGTTAATGGTGGGAATATGGTGGCAAATCTTCGGGGCATAATACCCAGATGGAAGTTATGCTTTATGTGGACTCGGTCTTTTTTACTGACTTAAAGATTGAGAAGTAAAATTTCTTTAAGTCGTGCACACGAAGTGTTTGATCAATTACCTCAATTAAGAATGACGGATAGCTCTCTTTCCACTGATCCCCCTCCCTCGACTGAAGAAAGTGATTCGCTGGAACGTAGTATCAAGAGAGTCAAGGATGATACATGCATCGCTCCTAACCCTCCCCCATATGTGGAAACAGCTGCTGCATCAACCCAAAAAAGCTTTCGAGATACTCTCATTGATGGGAGTTCAACCTTTTCTCCACCACTAATAACTTTAGAGGAATTGATGGCTGCAGGAATCAAGGAATCATCTCAAGCCCCGATGGTAGAAGAAAAAACCACTGGTATCCCTAAGAAGCCAATCCTTAAAGCTTTTATTCCCAAGGAAATTTGGCAAAGGCTCTGCACACCTTGGAAGAACTCTCTAATTGTTAAGCTTTTAGGGAAGCGGGTGAATTATCATATGTTGTGTGCAAGATTGATGCGTGAATGGCGAACTGAAGGTGAATTTGAGGTTATCGACATTGGGAACGGATATTATGTGGTGAAGTTCTCATCCACAGACGATTGTTCACGAGTTTTGCTAGGGGGTCCTTATAAGTTTTTTGATCATTACTTGGCTGTACAGCCTTGGGAACCAAATTTTCAACCTTCTCGGGCAAAACTTCCTAAGACTGCAATATGGGTTAAACTTTATGAAGTTCCAATGGAGTGCTACCATGAGGCATCTATCCTTTATTTGGGGAATCAAATCGGAAGGGCTATCAAAGTTGATAGAACAACCCTTCTAGCTACACGCGGGGAGTTTGCACGGGTGTGTGTTGAGGTGGACCTAAATGCCCCTTTGCCAGCCATTGTTGACCTTACTCTAGAGGAGCTTCCTCAATCATTGATCTTTGTAGAGTATGAGGGTCTACACAAAATTTGCTTTGATTGTGGTGAGTTTGGCCACAAGAAGGATAATTGCCATTACAGCCAACAGTCAACGCAGACGGTGGCGACGGCTACCGCTAAGGTATACCCTAACCAAGGAGTAGGCAACGAGCGTAGATTATCCCCAGAAATTACAAACAATTGCATGACATACGGGCCATGGATGGTTCCTAAGCGTAAACCACGGAAGACATCTCAACAGCAGAGGCCACCAAGGGAAGGAGCTTCCAATTTTAGCTTTGATAAAGCGCCCTCTACGGGAGCAGTGATGAATGCAAATCCTACCCAATCTAATCGCCAATCATCTCCCGTGAATAAGGTGACAGTGCGTGAAAGTAGTAATAATAGATTCACAGTGATTGCCGCGTTGGGTAATGAGGATTTGAGGGATATGGCTCCTTTAATGGAGAGTGTGAATCCAGCGAATAAGTCTGATTTGAAGAATGATATCTCAAGAACATCTGAAATGGAGGTAGCCCAACCCATATCAACACCGCAGCAGTGTACTACTTCCACTGTAACCCCCGCTCGAGATAAAGGACCTTTACAATCTAAATCAGTTCGCAAGAAAGATAAGGCCAAAAACAATAGATTGGGGCCCCAAGTGCAGTTGTCCAAACAATCAGGGCTTAAAACTGTGGATGCTCAAGCCATACGTCAGACCCTCTCTTCTTGCTCTAATCCTCTATTGGATTTACAAGGAGCAGTAACTGCTAAGCCTGTTCTAAAATCTTCTGCCCAACATCCAATGTCTGTTGACTCAAGCCAATGTGCTAATACTCCCCACTTGAATGTTTTGACACCTTCGGCTCGCATCGTTGCTAATGGATCCTCAGAGCAGGAACTAGCAAATATCTCTCGAGCTGGTGGAGGCGGGAATATTGATCTGGGTACTGCTTCTCCTGAAACTACAGTTGTTAATGCTACTCCGCCTGTGGTTCTAGCACCAAATGGTTCTTTAGATTCCCACCTCCTAACATGAAGATAATCTCATGGAATAGTAGAGGGGTGAATAATGCCCCTTTTCATCGAGAGGTTAAAGAGATGATTCGGACTTACAGACCAGATATTGTATGTTTTTTAGAAACAAAATCAGCTTTTGACTCTAGAGGTTTGCCTTTTTTGAGTCGTCAAGGTTTTAATGGCCAATTTAAGGTCCCTGCTGAAGGTTTTGCTGGCGGATTATGGCTGTTCTGAAAATCCCCTTCATCCAACCTTTCAGTCATTTACTCTACTAGTCAAGCAATTCATTGTACGGTGCAACATAAGGCAAAATCTTTTTTCTTGACTTTTGGTTACATCAGGCCACATGATTCTTTCAAGGATATGTTTTGGACTCAGTTGCGAGATTGGTCAGCTAGGCATGAGGGAGCATGGGTTATTATGGGCGATTTTAACGACATTGCCTCTATGGATGAGGTTTCACCTCGCTCTACTTCTGTCTACCACCGAGCCCATAAGTTTTGCCGTCGTTTGGAATACTGTGGATTAATGTCTATTGATGCTTTAGGTTGTAAGTACACATGGTGCAGAATGCAACATGGTCGAGTCAAGCTCAGAGAGCGATTAGATCGGGTTTTGATGAATTCTGCAGCTCAAGTAATGCTACAAGGGGCAAAAACTATTAATTTGCCACGGACATGTAGTGATCATCATCCTGTGCTACTTGATCTGGACACTGCTGCATCACTTCCTCCTGCAAATAAACCCTTAAGATTTGAAGCGTCCTGGTTATCTCGAGGGGAGTTTAATCAAGTCTTTTCAACGGCTTGGAATCTACATTCCAATCATCTACCACAGGCTATTCAAGAGACAAGTAGAGCTTGTGTTGCATGGGGTAAATCAGTGTTTGGAAACATATTTCGAAGGAAGTGATTGTTGAAAGCAAGGATCGCCGGCATTCAAAACTCCCCGCACTACCATAATTCCGACAGGCTCAGGAATTTAGAAAAAGAATTACTTCGAGAATACCAGCAAGTTTTATATGAAGAAGAATTGCTATGGTTTCAAAAAGCCAGGGTAGATTGGATTGCCTCTGGGGACAGAAACACTTCCTTCTACCATTTATCAACAGTGATTCGGCGCAACAAGAATAAAATTGGAGCTTTAAAGATAGATGAGGTGTGGATCTCTGACACAGCAGTATTAAGTGCTCATGTTCAAAATTTTTTCATAGAGCTCTTTAGAAGCAGGGACACAAGTACATTAAGGGAAGATCTCATGGGTTTTCAGCCTATAATCCCCACTTCAGAACATCTCCAGCTGACTCAACCTGCCACTTTGGAAGAGATCAAGGTGGCTCTTTTCTCCATGAAGGGATTAAAGAGCCCGGGTCCTGATGGTATTCAAGCTTTATTCTACCAAAAGCACTGGGACACTATCTCAAGCACCTTCCTTGACTTTGTTAATCAGGCACTTTTGACTGGCAGCTTCGATCGAAATTTAATAAAAGCTTATGTAGCCTTGATACCCAAGGAGGATTCCCCTGATGTTATACAGAAATTTAGGCCCATTACTCTTTTAAATGTGGCATATAAAGTATTGTCTAAACTTATTGTTAATAGACTACGACCTTATTTACAGAAGATTATTGGACCACATCAGAGCAGTTTTTTGGCGGGTAGAAGTACAATGGATAACATCATCATCACACAGGAAGCTATCCACTCCATGAAGCATTTAAAAGGCAAGAAAGGAGCTATGGTGCTGAAGATTGATCTGCATAAGGCTTTTGACAGTATCAGCTGGAATTTTCTCAGACAAGTTTTGGTTGATTTCAACTTTCCAAACCAGCTAATAAATTTAATTATGTTCTCTGTCACTTCAGTTCAGCTTTCTGTACTATGGAATGGGGAACCATTGTCTTTTTTCACTCCAGAGAGAGGGCTGCGGCAAGGGGACCCATTATCGCCCTATCTATTTATTTTAGTCATGGAGAAACTTGCTCACATGATCCAGAGGAGAGTTTCGATTGGGGATTGGAAGCCCTTTAAAATTGCACGAGGGGGCATGGCTCTTTCACACCTTTTTTATGCAGATGATTTAATGTTGTTCGCAAAAGCCTCGGAATCACAATTAGGCGTTCTGATGGATTGTTTGGATAGGTTTGCTAAGAGTTCTGGACTGGTGTTGAATCTTCAGAAGTCAAAGCTCTATACCTCTCCAAATGTTCAACGTACTGTTGCTAATGCACTAAGCCTTGCGTGTGGTATCCCACTTACTTCCAATTTGGGGACTTATTTGGGCATTCCTATTAGTCATGGTCGCCATTCCCATAAAAACTATCGATACATATTGGATAAAATGCAGCAGAAACTAGCCAACTGGAAGAGTGCTAATCTAAGTATGGCTGGTAGGCGAGTTCTCATCCAATCAGTTACTTCATCTATTCCTGCCTATACCATGCAATCGATGTTGCTCCCCAAAGCCACTTGTGATAATATTGATAGACTGAACAGAGATTTCCTTTGGGGTAGATCTTCTGGGACGCACAAATTGCATCTAGTAGGTTGGGATGTAGTCTGTTTAGAGAAAAAGGCTGGTGGACTTGGACTACGAGCAGCGTGGGATAATAACAAAGCTTTTGTTTCCAAACTTGGTTGGAGGATCTTCAGGGGTGACAATGCTTTATGGTGCCAAGTTTTACGGGATAAATACCTCCGTGGAGCTTGTCTTTTTGATGTTAAGGCTGCACAACGTTCCTCTCCAATTTGGCGTGGAATACTCCAATGCCGATCAGTGTTGAGAATGGGAATTAAATGGAGAATTGGTTCTGGGGAAAACATCAATTTTTGGAAGGATTTATGGGTAGGATACAAGCCCCTAAACCGCTATTGGTCTCAAGGCAGTTCTGAGGCTCCTCATGCACTAAAAGTTGCCGAGGTAATAACTCAAGATAGGGAATGGGATTTGGAGGCTTTACATGATCTCGTCTCGGATGAGTTAGTAGATGCAATCCGAGCCATACCCTTATCTAATTCACTACAGAACGAGGATAGCATGTTTTGGGCTGGCACGAAAGATGGTTGTTTTTCAGTAAAGTCAGCATATCAAACAATACAAAAGCAGCGGAATCCCCAGTTCTCTAATGATCAAGCGTGGAGTTGGATCTGGAGACTTAGCTGCGCTGAGAAGATTCGAATGTTTGTGTGGCTATTGATCAGAGGGAGAGTTCTCACAAATTCTGTATGCTTTGCTCGGCACATAGTAGCTTCTCCAACCTGTCCGCAATGTGAGTCATCCATTGAAACTCCTCTCCATCTATTACGTGACTGCTATTTTGCTAAGGTGGTGTGGGGATGTTTGGGGTTTACCACTTCAGAGTTTTTTACTTTGGATTACATAACATGGCTAAAGAAAATGTCTAGGTCTCCAAGCTCTAATGCTCAGGATACCTTGCCTAGAAACACTTTGTTTCTCTCGACGATATGGCATCTCTGGAAGACTAGGAATGCACTTATCTTCAGATCGTTTGTCTCTCGTCCTCAGGACATATGTTCCACTATTGTACAGCATGCTCGGTACACACAACTAGCCATGTGTCCTCTGCATTCCCATCCTAAACTTCCCCGCTGGGTTCGTTGGGTACCACCACAAGAGGGTGTCTTTAAGTTAAACACAGATGGTTCTTATAACCATGAAATGGCTTCTACGAGTGCCGGTGGTCTGATCAGAGACACAGCAGGACGCTGGATTTCAGGCTTTATTGTCAATATAGGCAGTGCGTCAGTTCTTCTAGCAGAATTGTGGGGATTAAGAGAAGGGCTTCACCTTTGCAGAGCCATGGATCTCACCCATGTGGTAGCTGAAATGGATTCTATGATTGCTGTCCGATTCATCAATGAAGGTCGGGATCTAGAAAATTTAACTACCAATTTGTTACTAGATATACGAAATTTGATGGCTGAGTTTGAGGTTTGCACTTTACAGCACACATTACGTGAAGGTAACTCTGCAGCTGACTTTTTGGCTGCTTTGGGACACTCCTCTCCACCAGGCACCACCATTTTGGACTCTCCACCAGCGGGACTACACTCTATCCTGATAGGGGATTCTATGGGGGCTAGTTTCCTCCGTTACTAGTTTTGTCTTTACTGTTATTTTCTTGGTCACTCACTGATGTACCAAAAAAAAAATTATCTATTAAGTTAATTAGGATTTAATTAAAACAGTCAATTATCTTTAATTAATTTTAATTAATTTGATTAATTATTCTAATGAATTAATTTTCTTCAATCACCTTTCAATCTCCATTTAAGTCATTAATTGGTGGTTCAAACTCTACGAAATCAGTTTTTAGTCAAATATTTTAGTCCAATTATCCCATTTTTAACTCTATATATTGAACATTTGATTGGGTCAAAAATTTCAAAATAAAAAAGAATCCTGTTAAAATTTCCAATTTTGGTATTTAAACCCCAAATGTTTCTAACCGATTAAGTTTACATTTTAATCTTTGTAAATAAATTCATCATCTTTCATAAAATTTCAATTTCACTAATCATTTTTTAACTTAATAAATTGAGTTAAAATCCCAAAATCGAGAGTATGCAACTAGGTTTTTGTAACTGCACCAAACCAGAAGTCCTTCTTCAATCCGTATCTGCACTCTAGATTGACCTGCAAAGCTCCGAGGTGGATCCTCGGGGTAGACACTTCGATGCTTAAGTCAGCAATAATCGGGGTTACCTTTGAAGCGGAGAAACAAGGAGCTTAGGGTTGGTTTCAATTACCTTTTTGACGTGGCCCTTAAGGGGTATTTATATGTTCCGATGAAGAATCCACGCGTCATGCCAATCAAGATGTCAGGCAAGATATCCGGGATCC